CCGCCCCATAGCCCTGCCCTATAACCCGACCCCATATCCCGACCCCATATCCTGACCCCATATCCCGACCCCATAACCCGACCCCATAACCGCCCCCCAGCTCCCCCGACCGCAGCCCCAAATCCCCGGGCCGCCTGCGCCGCGCTCTCACCTTCGAGGAGGATCCGGAGCCCCGCCCCTTAGCCCTGATTGGCCAACGGGATGGAAACGCCGCTTCCGATTGGCCGACGGGACGGGACTGAGTTCCGATTGGCCGACGGCCGGCGGTTGGATCCGCCCACTACAGAGCAGTGCGAATGGGGGGGGCGTGGCCAAACGCAGGCCCCGCCCACTCCCGCCGCCACGCCGCGATCCTATTGGCTGGCACCAAAGCGGCCGCACCATATAAGGGCACGGGGCTGCCAGCGGCCTATTTTGCATATCCCCGCCCACCGCGATTTGAATAAAGCTTTCATATTCATGAGCTTGGCCCCGCCTCCCGCCCCGCCCCCATCGTGTGGGGGCGAATCAATGGGGCAGGGTGAGGGGGGGGGGTTCTATAGGGCAGATGTGGGGCAGATGTGGGGTATTTATGGGGCAGATACGCACCGCTTCCCCCCAAAACCCGTTTTTCTCTGTTTTTTTCTTTTTTCTGTGTCTTTTTACCTTTTTTCCCATCTCCCGCCGCCGCCGCCGCTTTCCAAAATGGCCGCCCTCACCTCACGCTTCCCGCCTTACGCCCTCGCCCCGTCACGTGCTCCCCACTTCCGGCCCCACCTCCCTATCACCGCTCGTTTCCACCGTCACGTGACTCCCCACTGCCCGGCCCGCGTGCCCCTATCGTCTCTCTTCCCGCCTTTCCCTCCCCGTCACGTGATCCCGCCCCACTTCCGGCCGCCGCCTCCTGAGGTGAAAGCGGCGATGGCGACGGAAACCGACGGAACCTTCAGCGTCTCCTGAGGCGTTTTGGGGTCAGAGTGGGGCGGAGACCCCCACAGTGAGACAGTGACCCCCTCTATGGGGCTGGGACCCGCCTCAGTGGGGCAAAGACCCCCTCAGTGGGGCTGGGACCCCCTCTATGGGGCTGGGACCCCCCTCAGTGGGGCAGAGAATCCCCTCTATGGGGCAAAGACCCCTTCAGTGGGGCAGAGACCCCTCAGTGGGGCTGAGACCCCCCCTCAGTGGGTCAGAGAATCCCCTCTATGGGGCTGGGACCCCCCTCAGTGGGGCAGAGACCTCCTCTGTGGGGCAAAACCCCCCTCAGTGGGGCAGGGAACCCCCTTCTATGGGGCCGGGACCCCTCCAGTGGGGCAAAGACCCCTCAGTGGGGCTGAGACCCCCCTCAGTGGGTCAGAGACCCCCGCTATGGGGCTGGGACCCGTTTCAGTGGGGCAGAGACCCCCTCTGTGGGGCTGGGACCCCTTCAGTGGGGCAGAGACCCTCTCTATGGTGCTGGGACCCCCCTCAGTGGGGCAGAGACCCCCTCTATGGGGCTGGGACCCCTTCAGTGGGGCAGAGACCCTGGGACCCCCCTCAGTGGGGCAGAGACCCCCTCTATGGGGCTGGGACCCCTTCAGTGGGGCAGAGACCCCCTCTATGGGGCTGGGACCCCTTCAGTGGGGCTGGGACCCCCCTCAGTGGGGCAGAGGCCCCTTCAGTGGGGCAGAGACCCTCTCTATGGGGCTGGGACCCCCCCTCAGTGGGGCAGAGACCCCCTCTGTGGGGCTGGCACCCCTTTTTGGGGCAGAGACCCCCTCTGTGGGGCTGGGACCCCTTTCAGTGGGGCAGAGACCCCTCTGTGGGGCAGAGACCCCCTCTATGGGGCTGGGACCCCTTCAGTGGGGCAGAGACCCCTCAGTGGGGCAAAACCCCCCTCAGTGGGGCAGGGAACCCCCTTCTATGGGGCTGGGACCCCTTCAGTGGGGCTGAGACCCCCCTCAGTGGGGCTGAGACCCCCGCTATGGGGCTGAGACCCCCCTCAGTGGGGCAGAGACCCCCTCTATGGGGCTGGGACCCCCCTCAGTGGGGCAGGGACCCCCGCTATGGGGCTGGGACCCCTCTATGGGGCAGAGACCTCCTCTGTGGGGCAGGGAACCCCCTTCTATGGGGCTGGGACCCCTTTCAGTGGGGCAGAGACCCCCCTCAGTGTGGGGTTCTGTGGGGTGGCCATAGGGTCAATGGGGTGGCTATGGGGTCAGTGGGTGGCTATGGGGTCTATGGGGTGGCCAGTGGGTTTATGGGGTGGCCATGGGGTCTACGGGGTGTCTGTGGGGTCAGTGGGTGGCCACGGGATCTATGGGGTGGCCACGGTATCTATAGGGTGGCCATGGGGTCTATGGGGCAGCCACGGGATCTATGGGGCAACCATGGGTTCTGTGGGGAATCCATGGGATTTGTGGGGTGGCCATGGGGTTTGTGGGGTGTCTGTGGGGTCAGTGGGTGGCCATGGGGTCTATGGGGCAA